CGCCTGCCCGGAGGTGACTACATGGCGTGGCAGACTTCTCCTGACCCGCCCGCTGCTCCCTTCAGCAGTGTACTTCGTCGATCTGCCTGTTCTGCTCCCCACTCTGTCTCTAGTGAAGCCTCTTGCCGCCCCTGAGCCTCTGGCCTGTACCCCAGTTCTGTATGTACAAATAAATATATCTTTTTTAAAAAAGTTTATTTTCAGTCCAGAGGCCCCAGGGCCAAATAACTGACTTGGGTACCCTAAAGAATTAATAAGGGCCCTCATGATGGCACATTTTGGAGCTCATAACTGTGAGGCTGTCTGTGGCCACTGCAGCACCAGTTCTATTCCCAGCCACGGAGCTGACCCACATGGCACAGCAGACCTCTCCTGTCTCGCCTGCTGCTCCCCCTCAGGAGTGTATTTCAGTAAATTCACCCGTTCTGCTCCCTAGTCTGTCTCTGGTGAATCATTTAACACTCTCCCCACCCAGCACCTCTGATCTGTATCCCAGTTCTGTATGCATAATAAATAAATCTTTTTTTAAAAAGATGAATGAATGATTGGGGCACACCCAGTTAAAGATAATGTGATAGCTTATCATGGGAACAGTGTCTGAACAATCTAGTCCCTTATCCTCAAAGTGAGGAGTTGGCAGTGACATTTGAATAATATCATCAAAAGACTCATCTGGCTAACAGTTGGCATAAGGGGGATAGTTAAGGAGAGAAGAGGTTCAGAAATAGGAGCAAGGAGCCACACTCACTGAATTCCTTCTGGACTGTAAGTCTCACCTTGGACTTCTGGAACACTTGCTTTAAGATGCTATCTCTGTAATCCTCCCAGTGAGTGCTGGGACAGGTCTGACCCTCAATTGCAGAAGTGGAGCACGCAAAGATTTTGCCCCTTACCTTAGGTGTCTCTGCTAGAAAGCAGAGGAAACTGAATTGAAACCAAAACCATGTAACTTCCAATTCTGCCTTTGTTCCTTCATTTCAAAAAGTTAGTTATCCAGTAATTCATCTATGCCTATGTTATTCCACTGGCTTAATGGAGACTTAACAAGACCCTAGAATTGGAATTGAGGTAAGATTAGTTAATTGCTGAGTTTTCAAAAGACATCGTAGGCCAAGCTCCTGATTAGTAAAAGAATGACATTACTTTCTGCTCACCAGGGTTCCAGGAAAATCATTGCCTTTTGTAATAATGACAATGAAAGTTTTCAATTATCATTACAGTAACTGCAAGATTTGTGCCCCCCCCCACTTGTTTTGTCAGTCAGGTTTTGATCCCTCTAAGGAAAATACGTGGAAATCCCAAATGACATTTTCCCTGTGTACTTTCACATCAGCTCATCTGCAGAGGCTCAGGGCAAGGAAAGCTCACACTCTGAATCAGGCCAAGATGGTGGTAAGAGCAAGACATGTCTCCTTAGAATGCCACCGTTTGAGTGAAAGCTGAGTGCAGGTTATAGCTCTGGCCCGTGGAGAAAAAGACATAACCCCTCTGTAAGAAGCTGAGAATCAAAAAAGCCAAACAGGTTTTAATTCTTAGGATATCAATGCTGACCTTTGGAGGAGACTGAATCATTTCCTTGGCATTGCTTTGTGCAGTCTTTATAGAAATATTGAGGGAGTTAGCAGGGGGGGTTAAGAAGAGTATTGAAGATGGCACTTTTGGACCCTTCCCCTCAAGAAAAGGTGATTCCATGATCTCCTATCTTCATTGTTTCCCTCATCTCTTAACATCGCTCAAATTTCTCTCATACCCCTGTCTCTTGTTAAGTGATAGAGTTGTAATTTTCCACATTTCAGGTTCTGCTCCTCTGGATAGCACGAAATGGCTCCCTAGTTCTGGACCGTAGTCACATGGAGTCCTAATATCATTTTTATATGGTCCCCTCTGGTCTCAAGGAGTGGGTCGGAATTGGGAAGTGAGGGAAGTGAAAGTGCTCTGTCAGCACTCGGTGCACTGCTCCAGAAGCAGGAGGGAGTGGAAGTCCCCGCCCCCCTCCCCAGATGCCAGAATTTGCACATGGGCGCTCCCCTGGCTATAACCCCAGCCAGGGTCTCAGATATTCAAAGATAGCTTCAAATGAATTATTGTTCCTGAATTCCAGATTTATGCACCCTCATTCAAACAGTGATTTAGAAATTTGTGACACGGTGCTAACTCCTATCACCAGTGAGTTACAAGTCCTTTAGAACAAAGTCCTCAGTATTATGGTAACTTATTCCCTAGTTGGATTCTGTGCTGAAAGCACATGAATTAAATGCTCACTTAATTTGCTAGGTGAATTGTCTAACTTAAATTTCTTTTATGATGGTGCTCCAAATGTATTATGACTTGAATTATTTAAGAGTGAGTGCACCTGTCTCCAACCCTAATTTTTACCCAGGGTACTTGGACACTGGGAAGGACAGAGAATGTATCGATGTCTCAATGAACCAGTGAGGCAAGAAAGTAATAGTTCACCTACATCAACCAAATAGTTCACCTAAAGGAGAAACTGAGGCCATGGTAGAGTGATTTCTTCAAGGCTACAGGGTAAATCTAATGAAAGATAATATTCTAGCATTTGCAACAGGCATAGTTCAACCTATAACATGACCCTGGGTTGATCTGACCAATATTGGAAACTACCTTTTAAAGAAGTGACTGGCGGAAGGTCATGTAGCTGGAAAAGGCAAGCCAGGGCTGGAACCAGGGCCCCAGCTTCCCACGGCAATGTTCTACCTTACTCCACAGGACACATTTTAACCACACTGTAATTTTTATTCTGTCTTGATATTTTCCTTTTATTTAATCTCAGAATCTTGAACTTCATTCATTTACCTTCCATTTCCCTCCCTCCCTCCGTCCCTGACTCAGTTACAGAAACTTACATACTGTAATGACCTCGACAGGGGAATTGCCAACCGGGACCCTGTTCCCTGAGTTCATTTGTCGGATCAGTCAGGTTTTGGGGAGTTAGGGGAAGCACCCTGATTTCCATCACCTACCTCCTTCTTTCCTTTGCCCTCTGTGGCTTTCCTAGTGGTGAAGAGCGGACCTCGTCCCTCTTGTCCTCCTCCCCCCTCCCGCGACCAAGGAGTGGTATGTGCAGGATCAGAGTTCTGGAAAGGTTACACCAGGTCCGCTTGCCCGGATGAAATGTGAGCGCCCTGGGCAAAGACTCCTTGCACATAGAAGGACCGAATCCGGGCTCTACATGCCTTGGTCCTCACCCTCTTGCCACCAAGTGCTAGAGAGGCCGCCCCGTTCCTCCCCTCCCCCGCCCACCTGTTGCTGAGGGGGGCCCCCCACCCTCCCGTGGGCCGCTGCACCTCCCCCCCCATCCTGGCCAAATTGCTTGGGGTCAGCGTCACAGCCTCGGTTCCCGAAATAGCCGACGGCTGGGGCAGCTACTCACCCACTGGAGAACTTTGATGAAGCCCAGCGGCTCCTCCAGCCGCCGCCAGCGCAGACCCACGAGCAGGCGGTCCACCTGCGGAGAGAGAGCCGACCAGGGGTCAGGGCGGTGGGGAACGCGAGAACGCGCTGCTCTGCGTCTTCTCACTCACTCCCAGGAGAGGGGGCGGATGAGGGTCGGCTCTGATAGCCAGGTGGAGAAAACGTAGGTGAGAGTCCCGGGGCGCGCGGCTGTACCTGCTGGCGCGGAGACTTGTCCGCGGTGCGACTCGAGCCTTCCGTCGAGGACATGCTGGCGCAGCGGGGCCGGAGCGCGGCGCGGAGTCTCGGCTCCCTGGCCTGGGGGCAGCGCGAACCGCGGAGGGGCTGGGGGCTGCTGACCCGCTAGGGAGGCAGCGAGCGGTCCTGGAGCGCCAGCGGCCGTCCGCGGCGCGGGATCCAGGCTGGCGGGATGGGTCGCGGGAGCGCTGCTGCCCGTGCTGGCGGAGGCCGCGGCCGCCGCTCTGCCTCGCTGGCCGCAGAAAGCCCCCGAGTCCGAAGCAAACTCCTGTCAAACTCGCCAGCAAACTTGGCAGCAGAGTCACGTGGCGAGCGCTCGCGAGCCCTCCTCTGCCCCCTCCGCTCCGCGGACTCGGTCCGCAGGGCTCCTTAAAGGGACCTGTGGCTTCTCGCCGCCGTCCCGCCGCGAGAGGGCTCGGGTTCTTTGCCAGAAGCCGCCAGGGCCAGTCCCAAGGGAGACACCGCCAGAGTCGGGAACGCTAACGTGGTGCGCTGGGCCGCGCGGGTTCCTACATTATCTCTCACCGCTTTCCCTTTCCATACCATGTTAAATCACTAACATGCACATGCTTTTTTTGTTATTAAAAAAGGAAAGCAACACCTATCCGGAACGAGTAAAAAGTGAGCAATTTGTAGTCTATTGCCTTCTCTTCGTCTCATGGTGTTTGAAGATTTTGAAAGTAGTTTGTTAACAATAAACTTTAGAACTTCATGTCAGCACCGACGGTAGGGCCTTCTGAAACTCCTTGTAGGTTCTGGGTATCACGGCATGGAAAGTATAAACTCAATCTCTTTTACAATTGCCATTGTCAAGTACAGAAGAAATTTGTACCTGAACAGTTGACATTTTTGCCTTATACCTGACATTAAATAGAGCTTCACTTTTCAAAAAGTATTTGGCAGGAGCCCTAAGGGAACAGTCATGGAAATTATACATTTTGCTTATTGGAATGCAAATATCACTAGCCAAAGATTAAGTGATTTGTCCAAGGTCACTGAGTAAGCAGGAGAGACCTGAGCTTCCAAATAAATGGCTTGTAAATATGTATCCACTTAGTTACAAAATCACTAACATTCCTTCTGGTGCTTCAGCAAGACAGCTTTTAGAACAGACATTTAGTTATTAAAATAGTTCACTCCTCCATTGAGTAACTGCCTTCCTAGGATAGGGATAGGGAGAGGTGGCTGGGGTCAGGGCACTTGAACTTGAAGGAAACCCTTATAGTGCATTACCATGCAAATTTGGGCCAAGCAAAGAACAAGTATGAGTCATTTCCTATCAGTTCTTAAGAAATTGTTCTGCTTTCTTAGATTTTCTATGGAATAATAATTTCTGTACCACTTACTTCATAATGTCTCCATGACCATTCATGGTACAATGTTGGTAAATACCCAACTATATAAAGTGAAATCACACTATTACCAATGTCTACATCAATAAACATACAACATACTCAGAAAAGAATCGGGATAATAAAGCAAAAATCCATACATCCACCTTATTACATTTAATACTTTTTCTTGTTTGTCACAAATCTATTTCAAAACAAACTAAAGGGCCCTCCTTAGTGGTGCAAGGGGTTAAAGCACAGCACTATGAAGCTATCTGCAGCTACTGCAGCACAAGTTCAATCCTTCACGAGGGAGGTGACCCACGTGGCACAGCAGACCTCTCCAGTCTTGCCCTCTGCTTCCCTCAGCAGTGTGTTTTCAGTCAGTCAGCCTGTTCTGTTCCCCACTCTTCAGTGAATCCTCTCCATCCCACCTTTGGTGTGTACCCCAGTTCTTATATGCATAAATAAATCTTTTAAAAATAAAACAAGAATGTATATAAATTTGAAGCCCCGTGTATATGTATTCCCTCACATAATTCCCATTTCTCCTTCCTTCCCCTAAGTAATCACTATCTTACCCTGAATTTCTTTCAGACACATGCATAAGTTAATATTTGTACTATATCTGTGACTGTATCTAGAGGCAATACATGGAAATCCACCAGACATAGCAATGTCTTTCAGGTTAACTATCTAAAGAATATTATGTTTTCAGTAACCTTCTTTAACTTGCCTTTTCACTTAATGTTGTGTTTATGAGAGTTATTTAGCCTGAGGCATGCACCTTTAGTTAATTTATTTTAGTTATATATTTCTACAACATAGATATACACACACACCACAGTGCACTTATTGTCATATTGATGGATATATTGGTTATTTCCAAGTATTTCCTCTTACCGTGTTACATGAATATGTGCACATTTCTTTGTGCACAAGTGCACAGGTTGCTTTACGATGAAAATGTAACTTTTTTTCATAAACATAAACCCTAGTAAGAAATTTTATGCCATGACCCACTATATAAACTGAAACAAGTTTCACAAACCATTCTAGTTGTTTCTATTTCACTTCATTAAAAAATAATTATCCAGCGACAGATCTACATTTTGTGGGCTTAAAGTGGATACAACTTGGAAACTCCCTTTGGAAAAAGAATACATGGTTACATGATTAGTAACCAGATCTTAGAAGAAGTTTTGTGAGGGGGCCTGGAGCTTTAAGCTTCATTAATTTCAGGATAAATACCCCTTTGGGCAGATACCTGAGACTGATTTAATGACTTTCTAATAATGGATCTCTCAGTAGTTTGAGATATATTACACTATACCCAATAGTGAATAGGTTAGGTTGTAAGACATGAACACTTTGAGTTCTGAGAAATGTATATACCCACAAAACCACCACCATGATCAAGATACAGAACTTTTTCATCATTCCAAAGAGATCCCTCCTGCCCTGAGTCAGTCCTTACACAATCCTCTGATCTCCTTTATGACTTTATAAATGAATAATGGCTTTTCTGGAAGGGCAAATAAATGGAATTAGGTAATATAAATGGAATATTGTGTCAGACTTCTTTCACTCATTATAATGTTTTTGAGATTCATCTGCAATCATATGAAATATGATTCACTGTTGTTTATCTACTGGCCAAAATAATTTAGGATGCCCCCCCCTTTTTTTTCTTTCTTCTTTTAAGTAGAATTGCTATAAACTTTCTTGTGCAGTATTTTGAGTGAATGTATATATTTATTTCTAGGGTAAATTCCTAGAAGTAGAATTTCTAGGTTTTATATAAACAAATGTTTAACTTTATACAAAACTACCAACCTGTTTTCAAGAGTGATTGTACTGTGTTGCTTTCTCACCAACAATGTATTCCAGTTACTTTGCATCTTCCCCAGCACTTGGTATTGCTAGCGTTTTCCCC